ATATATATATATAACTACAAACTTGTTAAGATCTACGATAAAGAATAAAAAAAAACTTATGAAAGGAAAATAGTAAATTTATTTATTAGATTCTATTTTTAGCCTTAAAAATATTGGTAAAAAAAAGAAAAGATAACCTTGTCTATAATCGTGTCTAGCTATTTAAGGTATAGCTCATTATCGTCATTATCCATACCATGTAGAATTCATGTTTAGTTTTGTGTTGGGCTTTTGGCCCTCATTTACACAAAAAAAAAAAAATAATATAAAATAATGTAAGTGCGAAATACAAACATTTAAGGATGAGTCCAAGTATCGAGTTGCGTTTTTACTTTATTTCTTTCATTTGCTTTGATATAAAATTAGAATGTTGAATATTAATATGAATATACTACTTAATTACGTTAGTAAACAAAGACGCATTTTGTAAAAAGTAATATTTTAAAGTATATGGATTCTTGAATTTAAACAAGTTATACTTTGCAACACACAAGGTTTCAGAATAGTATTGTTAGTTGCTAATGCACAAGCATATGCATAACTCGTTAAGGAATATCTCACAAAAGAAAACGACAGATGATAAGAGAGTTCAAGACTTCACTAACCTTCTTTTCCCCTTTCTGAAACCCTCTTGTTTTGTTGTAGAGAGAAAGGTGAAGCAAAGGATTTTGTCAGTTTGTATTCTCAATGCTATATGGATATAAACATTACTTTAAAATGGGGCATGGTGGAAACAGGTTCTAACTCCTATGAGATATGGACATCACATCACAGCATGCATCTACGGATCATAATCAACTAAGAGTAAAAGCTTCCTATTCAACTCAGATCATCAAACCACAAAATGGTTTTACAAGGTCAAATTATAGGCACCTAAAACACTGCTTCTTCTAACACAGGCCACCACTGCATGCAGAAACTTGGAAGGTGGAATCAGTAATTAAGCAATGAATATTTCACTCTCAAAACAATTTTCCCTTTCTCAACACCAAGCTTTCCACCAGTGACTAACCAATGGCCAGGAGGGTCTTGGGGTCCTTTGATCATCTCAGACAAGTCAACATACTTCACCAACTTGTTCCCTGTGGCATTTTCTCTAGAACTAAGGGCTGAGTTACTATCTGGGTTGGAGGTGTTTCCAGCATTATTCAGTGTTTTTGGCGACTTGTTCAGGACATGATCCCACAGTGATCGCCGGACTGTGCAGCCGGGTAACCTTGAATACAAGAGCTTCATGTACAACACATTGCGTGAACCGAAATCCCACACTCCAAGTTGTGCTCCAGTGACTATGAAGACGCCGGAGAAGTCTCCAATGAAGGTTTCAGGGTTCTCGATTGGTGCAGTGCTTACATGAGAAAAATTCTTCCACTTGACTGGCTCAAACCACCGGCTGTCTTGCTCCTCGGGTCCCTGCCACTTGGGCGCGCCAATGGCTACGTGGCTGTCCCAATATGGATGAAGGATTTTCGGAAGGGATACCAAGTGTTGAACATGAACGCTCAGCCGATTCTGCTTGCTTCCTTCTATATAAAGACGTAAGCCGGTTACCGGCCTACGTCCCACGGTAATCTACATTCAAAGAGAACCACAATGTAAAGTAAAATTGATATGCTGTGTGCCATTTTTCACAGTTTCACTAAAGTTTGAAGACTTCTTACTAACGCAAGTAGCCAATGAGTATAGAAACTTAGTCACCAAATACCAATGCCACAGGAAATTTCTTGAATCTGTGTACCAGTTACACTGATTGTGTTTCTTAAATAATACATTTCGTGAGGTATAATAAATTTATAATGTTGTGCAGAAGTATAGTGGTGGCAATCATGTTTCAACTTTTAAGGAAACATTCTTTTCATGTGATGTTAAAGAAAAGGATATTAACCGAAGAAATAAATAAATTCTTTTCAGATAAACAAATACGTAATGAAAGGTTCAATTTATTAAATTCCCCAGACTTAGCTAGAGGCACTAGCAGATCAATTCTTAGAATCATATCTTGGTTAAGTTGCTTAGAAACACACAATAATAAACCTAATGCCCCCATTCTCAAGGAAGAAAAGCTTGAAAACAAAAGAAGGGAACTGCCGTATGTACCCACAAACAGTAATTACTTTACATTTCTTTAAAAGAATCGTTGTCATGGAATAAGTTTCTGAGTGAAGCAAAATGCCAAAATGACCTTTTACCTGTTCTTGACTGACGTAAAGTTTCTGGCCCATTATGCTGAATTGCAAAGATGGGCACACAGGTTCCTTCCTTTGTTGACCAGGTATCCTGTCTTGTAAAGGAGCCCATACACAAGGAAGCTGAAACTCTAGGAAATATCTAAGTTCTTCAATTGGAGGTTTATCTGCACGCAAAATTTTTGAAAAAGGGAGAAGAAGTGCACAACTGATATTAGACTATACTCTAAAAGTCAATATGAAAAATTGTAAACAATAAAAAATAAAGGATAAATTGACTTACATTCAAGATAAAGACCAATGGCACGAATCAAATGCTCCTTGGTAGGTATTTCATCAAGGAGATCAATTATAGGACAGAAAGTCATCTCAATGATATCTGGGGAGGACTTGACAGTTTTTAACCATTTATTGTGGTTTTGCTCCAAATCATCTCCTCCTCTTCTTCTAAAAATGACTGTAACATCCTGAGCAATAAGTATTCAAGGAAGTTAAGAGAAAAAAGAAGACTTGACGAAGACTTTTTTCTAGACAGAATTGACAAAGATATTCAACAAACCAGCCAGCTACTAACAATCAATAACCATAATAGACAAGCAAGTATCTTTCTTGTTAACAAGTATGAATATTTCCCAATTCAGCTGCATGCTGACACATAGTTCCCTATCCAGAGTTCAACGCACTATGTGATGCAGGTCATATTCCAAAATATCAAGGAGAAGAAAAAAAAAACTAGCAGGCATCTGTAGAACACTAGAACCAGATTTGAAGAAATTACATCAAAAGAAATAAAACAGATGACACATTCAGATTTCCCATTCATAGCTGAAAAAGATTGGTCATGAATGGAGATCCTGAGGAAGAGTTGCTCCATATTGCCAGTGGGGTTGGTTCTAAAATAGTGACATTTTATCACCATTGTATTAATTTTAGCATTGCCATGTGCACCAAAGCAAACAAGGATAGTCAGATTTAAATTTTAAATCCATCAGATGAAGTTAAATGAAGGAAGATGTTCCCATTGGATAAGTATGTAAAGACAAGCAGCCTAATAAGAAAGCCCATAAAGCTAAATGAGGATAAAGTCTCAAAACAACTAATACCAATCACAAATAGAGATTACCATTCCTCTCAGTTACCCATACGGCACCTACAAATACCAAAACTCTGTTACAAAGGTATGTTCTCACTCTTCTTCCTATCATTTCTCTTTATGCTCAATAGGACTACTAATTGACAAAAGTCTCTACCACAAATAAAGTCCCTCCTTACTTGAGACCTTGGAGAGAAGACCAAGACCAACAGACCTGATTTCAATCCATCTCAGATACAACAAATCCCAATAAATTTGCTCACACATTCTCAAACCTTAATGACACAAAAGGGAAGGTAGTTCAAAAAAAGGGTGAAGGAAGGAAATACACAAAATATCTATTACCTAGGAAGCACTAATATACTTATAATCTCTTTGTACCGGTGACACATGATACTTTACAAAATCAACATCCCATTGATAAATTATAGTATTCTATTGGGTCACTAATGTCTAAATGTTGAAAATAAGCTCTCTTCTTCAATTTCCCCTCAACTGTGGAAATGGAATGGCCAACTATTTTTTTTTTTATAAAAAAATTAAGATGTCTTGTGTGTTTGTAAAATGTTTTGTGAGATGGTATATATAAATCATGTTGAATTACGTCAAAAGCACATCCTAAATTTTTAGGAAATGTCATATCCCTGTGCAATTCCAGCATCATCTCCAACATTGTACCAATACCTGTATATGCAATGCAGATATTGACTAGCTTAGCTTTTGGTTTTGCACATCAACATGGTCAAGGAATTCAGAAATGGACGAGGAAATTGAAATCGGCTTTACATGTTAGGAGGGGAAATAATCATGTTAGTGGTTCTTGGTGAAGCCCACAATGGGGATGAACCTAAGACCTTGTATACTTCTATGCCTAAAGACATTATAGATTATCATAAGACAATATACCACAGTTTACTTCAGAAAAATGGTTCATCAACATTTAAATTACCATGATTTTGGATATAATTGTATAAACTATGCTATAAATAAAATAGTTCATAATAATAGCAACAACAAAGCCCTTATCCCACTAAGTGAGGTCGACTACATGGATCACATGACACCAGTTGGCTTGGAAAAAAAACATAATAGTAAAACATATATTACATACTTCTTTCCCAGTAGGATATGTTGCAGTTGTGGGTTGAGGGTAAACCCCTTGACTATTGAATGAAAATGGATCAACACCCTGCAAAAAATGTAAAAATAATCAAGCATTTTATTTATAGTTATCATGAGCCTGAATCAAATAAATTTATGCAAGAAAAGGGTATTGAGATGAACTAGCCTTATCCTTGGATTTTGTTTGCCCTGAACTTGTATGGCTATTGATGTCAGAAAACCTCTGATTTCCAATATCCTGAATATAATTTTTCATCTCCAGCTTTGACAAAGGAGAAGTATGGTGTTGTTTAACATAAATAACATCTTTACCACCAATAGTTATTGACGTAATAACATGAGTTCCAAAATTTTCAATAAAACTGTCAAAATGTAATTAAAAGTCAGGAACAATCTCAAAATATCTTTGTTACAGAATTATGTATATAACTTATATATGCATACCTTGCCAAGGACGGTGGGTCCCAATTGGCAGGAACAGCCCTTTTGACATTTTCTTGCAACGTTAAGTGGGATTTTTTAAGCTGAACCTTTGCCAGAGGAATGTAAAACCCATCTGAAGACAAAGTTTTTGTGGCTGCATCATCAACATGTTTAGAACCAGTGAAGCTAAATGCAGAGTTAAAGCTCCCAAGAGGAAAGCTCCCTGATATATTTGCCCTATCATTAAAGTATTCCACCATCTGCAGTAACAGCAGAACTATCATAAATTTGAGAATACATTGCTGGGGCACAACAGTCTAGTATGACTCTTGTTCTTTAGTACATCGCAATCTGAAATTATAATGGTTATAATAGTTTGTTTGTCTCAAAAATTTGATGCATGCAAAATACCAAGGAATCAACCAGAGTATTACGAAAACAATTAACAAAAACAATGGATGCATATAAGATAAGTGTCAGTACTCAGTAGTACATATAATTTGGAAATTTCTGCCCAACAAGAAAATCTTCTAAAGTGGAAAGGAACCACTCTCTGCCATTGCTAATGTCTCAGTGTCCATGCTAAAGCTAAGCTACCTATCATAAGATAGTACCTCCCTTGATTATTTTAGTTTAGATTAAGCTACATGCGTATATAATTGAAAAATGCTCAAGCACCATTTCTTAACCCTCACCTCCCTTAAATCCCATATTACACATGACAAGCAAAACCATCCTCAAGAATATCACTTTGAGGCATTTTAAAGATCCATTGCTAGCAGCCATTCCACACCACAAATTTCACTACACCAGGACCATCTCTTCTCCACAATCACAAAGGGCACTCAAAACCATTGTCAAATTCACCAAACAAAATATAGATATGTCCTCTACCAGCACAAATAATTAAACATAACTGAACAACAAACATGCTGAAATAAATTCAGGAAACAATTTCCACGAAACAAGATAAAATCAATCCTAAACAGAAAATTTTCAGTCATAAAATTCACCTCTCGGAAACTCCGTACTCCAGAACTCTGACGCACCATAGGCTCCTGAGAGCTTCCAATGTCCCTGGAAACGTCAGGAACAGCCAAATCCTCGTACAACCACAGCTCCCTACGGTGTTCTTCATCAATCTCAACTACCCTAGACCCTGAAACTCCTTTACAATAAAGCAACCTCGTATCAAAGTTCACATCAAAGCCCCTCCCTAATGCTTGCAAAGCATTGGTAGCAGTGTGCAACGCTGCTACATGCTCCCCCATGGCTCATTAAAATTAGCTGAGCCACCTCAAAAAGACTTTTCTTTCAAAGAAAACCCAATTCTTGAAGGAACTAGAAGGTAAATTATCTCCGCAATCGAAGGGAATCAGAATGACCCACATGAACAAATTCCACAAACACACAAAAAAAGAAGGCGATTTTAACTCTTGAGCTATGAGGGCATGTGACTCATGGAAGGGTCGTGATCAAACCCATTTCTTGATAACTCTTTGTTATTCTGTGTGCTCAACCGGTTGACGCGGTGAAAATCATGATGTGAAAGAACAAACTCAATGGATCTAAGAGCGATGGAGATTAGATTATATATTATCCAAAATCTGGCGTGGTTTGGGTGCTAGCTACTTCTTCTGGTGCTTGTCACTGACTCTCTCTCTCTCTCTCTCTGTAAAACGAAAACCTCTCTCTCTATATTGACATTATCGCACAGTGTAGTAGTTGTTTTCTTTATAGTTTCTACCTTGGGAGACTCTGTGGTTTTGTCTGTCCAAAGAAGCATTGACTTCAGTTTCAGTCATAATTTACTTTCCATCGAAACGTTTGCGTGTTATTTTGCCTAACATCTTGACCGTCCATTCCTGGTCGTAGCATGTGCGTCCAAGTATCAAGTCATGCACTTGTTTTCAGACTCTCATTTTTTGTTTTTATTTTTCTTCAACTTTTTAAATAATTAAGACTTGGGTTAAGTTACCACCGCTTGGTATATCGGTTCATACGAACTTACTTCACTTTAATTAAACCCTTAATATATACTCCATCACTTGTTTAGTATAACTTTATTATAATAAAATATACTTTTTTCTTAAATGTAAACAAATGATATTATTTCAAAAATATGTGTTCTATAATATATGACCATTCAAATATATTATTTTTTTATATTTATAACAAGGATAATTTAAAAAAATCTTATGAAAATAAAATAACTAACTTTCTTAAAATGTGTAAAATTAATTATTTTTGTTTATGATAAAAAATAAAGAGAGTATATATATTCTTTTTAATACACTCATTCTTATTGGTCAGAAATTATTCAAAATTACAAAATCAAGAGCTTATTAAATAGGGTGTATGACTCACTACATTTTGTGTCTTCTAATAAATTTCATCTGATTGGAAAAAAGTGTGTTACTAACATTTTTATATATATATAAGACTTAAGTGAGAACACTTGCTAACATAAGAACAACTAATAACAACTCTTATATTAAAATTAATTATTTAAATTAAAATTTTATATAAAAAGTTATCACATTCTATTGTCATCGTAATTATTTCTATATTGCTAACTTTATCACCTCCACCACCACCACACCTCCACCACATTACCACTATTTCCATTACTACCACCACAACTACTTGTACTATTACCATTACTATCATTGTTGTCGTTACCATCATCATCACCACTACTACCTTCACTAATATGTGGTTGTTTTTGCGAAGGAGAGAGTGGGTGAAGATCACGTTATAACTAAAGACTATGCTAGGACACAAACCTTAGTGGGGCCAAGTTTTAATACCCAATAGGAATCACTAATCTCTCGTGGAGCTAGACAAAGGACTATGGTAAATAACAAGATCCAGTTTGCATGTGAAACACATGTAACCCCACTAAAGAGCTCATTTTGGAAATTGGGATTGTTTTGGGGGAGACAGAGGTCAACAATGGAGAACAAAATAATGACAAATGGTGTAAAGATTTATCTACAGATTGTATAGTGAATGATACATTTTGTCCAATGTAGTGCAAGTCCATTAAGATGGAAAATGGGTCTTCCTACAATGGGGCATTAAATGAAAATCAACTATGTGGAGTCACCATAGGACTAATTAGGATTTTGAGTGTGACATCAAGTAAAGAAAATAATAGTTTTTTGAAAAAGGAAGGATAAAAGAGCTTTACATTATGAGTTCAATAATATGATGTCTGACACTTGTATAAGAAATTGCAACAAATTGTTTTGGTTAAAGGATAAAGTTGTGGAAGCTAAGAAACTATTGGAGCTTGGAAAATGTATAGGAGTGATGTTTGAAGGTCAAAAGCGAGATATCGTGGAAAGGCTAGTGGAATTAGAAAGGAGGGATCAAAAAGGAATTGAGATGACCCATAACATACAAGAGGTGGGGCAAATAAGAGTTAGACAATGAGGCTCATGTCATATAATGTGTGAAGGTTAGATGGGAAGGTTAAATGAAAGTTTATTAAACAACTAGTAGTTCAAGAAGAAATTCAACTTCTTTGTATACAAGAAACCAAAAAAGAAGAAATTAGTGAGGCATTGTGTTTTGCTTTGTGGGGTGGACATGAGGTTAGTTGGTTGGAGGTTCTTGCTAGTAAGGCTGCCAAATGGTTATTATGCTTATGAAGTAGGGAGTGTTTTAAGCTCACAAATGCTTCTTGTGGGTCGGGTTACATTACCTTAAAGGTATATGGAAGGAGAAAAATTGCACACTGACAATTATTAATGTTTATATACCATGTGACATGGAGAAAAAGATAAGGATTTGGGACGAGATAAAGCATATAAAAGAAAGCAACAATTGTGAGGGTTGGTGTGTGTTGGGAGATTTTAATTCTGTGATGGTCATGTGAAAGAGTAGGTTAAGGAAGGAATAGACACAGGAGAAGAGAAAGAAGGGAGTTTAATAAATTCATTGAGGAGATAGAATTAAAAGACATACCTTTGGCGGGAAGGAAATTCTCTTGGTATAGGCCGAATGGAAAAGCGAAAAGTAGAATTAATAGTGTTGTATCAAGTGAGTGGTTGGAATTATGCTTGGGTTGTACACAATATGTTCTTGATATGAATATATCTAATCATTTCCTGATTGTTATAAAGAATACAATTGTTGATTGGGGTCATAAATCATTTAAGGTGTTGGATTGTTGGTTTCTAGACAATAATTTTGAGAAGTTCATAAAAGAGGTGTGGGATGGTACAAAGATAGTTGGTTATAGTGCATTTATTCTAAAAGAAAAGATCAATACTTTGAAAGAGAATTTAAAGTGGTGGAATAAAAATATATTTGGAAGTTTGGAAAAAAAATATAAAAAGTGGCGAATGCAATGAATCTTTTTGATAAGAAATACGGGGAACAAGAGCCGAGTGAGGTAAAGATTATGAGAAGAATGAAGCTTCAAGAGGAATTTTGGAAAATCTTGATGAGTAATGAGTCTCTTTTAAGACAAAAAGCAAGATCAAAATGGTTGTTAAAGGGGGACCAAAATTCAAAATATTTTCACGCGATGGTGAATTGGAAGAGGAGGAGATGCATGCTTAGAGGACTCAACATTGGAGGTGCATGGGTCGAGGATCCAAACAAGGTTAAGGTTGAAGCAAAGAATTTCTTTGCAAAGAGATTTAGTGAGATTGGTGAGGAAAGACCAACTTTGGGGGTGTGAGGTTTGGCCAGATATCTCAAAAGGACAACAAATTGCTAATGGCTAGATTTGGGGAATTGGAGATCAAGGAAGCAGTGTGGGAATGTGAGAGTTATAAAAGTCCAGGACCAGATGGAATAAACTTCAAGTTTATAAAACATCTTTGGGAAGATATGAAGGAAGATATATATGTTCTTAGAAGAGTTTCATGAGCATGGTGTGTTCGCGAGAGGAAGCAACACTTTATTCATTACATTGATTATTAAAGTTGATCATCCACAAGAACTTGGGGACTTTAGACCAATCTCATTGTTGGGCTATATGTACAAGATTCTAGCTAAGGTTTTAGCTACTAGACTTGAGAGATTGTTGCATATAGTGATTGACCAAAGGCAAATGCATTCTTAGAAGGAAGGTTTCTTTTTCATATTGTCCTTGTGGTCAATGAAGCTATTGATGAAGCAAGGAGGAAAAAGAAAAAATGTCTTGTTTACAAAGTGGATTATGAAAAAGCATATGACTCGATAGACTGGAACTCTTTGTGTTACATGGTGCAAAGGTTAGGGCTTGGTGACAAGAGGATCAAATGGATGATAAGGTGATTAAATTCGAGCACAATCTCAGTATTGGTTAATGGTAATCCATCTATAGAGTTTAAAGTACAATGAGGGCTACGTCAAGAGATCTTTTCGCATCATTTCTTTTCACTATTATAGTTGAAGGTCTTAGTGGGAAGATGAGAGAAACAATTGACAAAAACATGCTCTCAAGATTTTGTTTTGGCAAAGATAAGGTGGGAGTTAATCTTCTAGAATATGTTGATGATACTATCTTCATTGGTGAGGCTTGTTTAAGTAACATGATTTTGGTGAAAAACATGTTGAGATGTTTTGAACTTGTTTCAAGACTTAAAGTAAACTTCCATAAAAGCTACCTTAGGGCCATAGGTGTTGAGGACTCATTGAAGGAAAAGTATGTGACCTTGATGAACTACAAAGTGTTATCTCTACCTTTCACCTATCTTGGGATTCCTATTGGAGCAAATCCTAGAAGAGTAGAAACTTGAAAGTTAGTGATTAACAAATTCTCTAAAAAGCTAGCTTTATGGAAAGACAAAGTGTTGTCTTTTGTTGGTTGAGTATGCCTCATAAACTCAATCTTAACAACACTTCCTCTTTTCTTTTTATCATTTTATAGAATGCCAAAAGGGGTTATAAATAAAATTGTGTTTACTCAAAGATTTTTTTTATGGAGAAGCAAGGGAGGGAGAAGTAAAACATGTTGGGTGAGTTGGAAGAGGATGTGTCAACTAAGAAGTCATAGGGAACTAGGGATTAAGGATATTAATCTTTTTAATATTGCTCTCTTAGAAAAATGGAGGTGGGCTCTATTCAACCATAGAGGGTCATTATGGTGTAACCTTTTGGATTCTAAGTATGATGGGTGGAAAGGGATCATGAAGGAGGATTTGGGAAAAAAATGTTGATTTGGTGGAGGGATCTATGTAAGACTTGTGGGGGCGTAGAGGAGTTAAAGTGGTTTGATAAGTCTATACAATGGAGCATTAGGAATGGGAAAAATGCTAGATTTTGGCATGAGTGTTGGGTGTGTGAGGTGAGTCTTGCTTATAAATTCCCTAAAGTGTTTCTAAATTCATGTCAACAAGAAAGTGCCATAATTGATATGGGAAATTGGGAGGAGGGTAAATGGTGTTTGGATATTAAGTGGCGTAGAGAGTGGTTTGAGTGGAAAGGTAGTTTGGTGAAAAAGTTGGTAGAGCTATTGGACAGTGTCAATTTCAAAAAAGGAACAAATGATAGTTCGTGTTGGTTGCAAGGTGGGTCAGGGGCATTCTCTGTTAAAACTACATATTTAACTTTACTTTTAGTAAAAGATGGATCTTCATACAACGAGCTACTATCCTTAGTGTAGAAATTAACGGTGCCACCAAAAGTCAACTTTCTTGTATGGAGAATATTACAAAATAGGTTGCCAACAATGGACAATTCTTACCGTAGAAATATTCAACTAAGTGAAAATGGAAGGCTTTGTTCCTTTTGTCAATTGTATCAAGAATCCT